TCCAATCGTATGAAATAGAAATTGAAACGTTTCTCTATCAAACAAAAAAACAACCTTGAAGTTTAGTCGAGAAATGGTGGAGATATTTAATTTTCTTTTTGGTCAATGAATTTCCGGACACCCGGTACCTCTGCTTAATACTCAATTTTAATCCACAAAAATAAACACATATCTATATATAACTAGTATCCTGTTTCAAGTAATTACAAAAAAACACACGAAAAAAAAGTAGATTTGTATTTAATGTTGAATATGTTAACTATCTTTTGTATCAGGTGATTTGATATGTACAATTAACAACTTATGATAATCTGTTTTTATTTCTACTAAAATATTTTTTGGACACGTTTTTAATGAATGTTGAATTAAATCTTTATGTTGTATAATCGATGTTGATTGTTCAATACTGACAAAACCTTTTGGTTCATAGTCACATGGCGTATTATCATAATATTCTAATTTAACACAAAAACGATAGTTTGATTTATATTTAATTGGAGTAAGCCGGTCAAGAAATAAAATTAATTTTGTTAATGAATTCACAACTTGTTTTCGTATATCTTTATTTTTTAAATTTTTTTCATGATGATTATCAGTATTTTCATCATGATATGAAAATAAAAATAAAAATGTCTCCAGTATCGATTGTTCAACATCTTTCGATACGATAATAAACGAGGCCATCTTTAAATATTTTTCAGCAATTGCTTGTGATATTCCACCGATCCAATCGAATATAATTGCTGCTTTTATCGTTTGCTCAACATTTGTACAATGATGATCAAACAATTGAACGTTTAAAGAGCCAAGTCTTTTTTGTGCATAAAAATCTGATGAAAATAATTTACGATTTGATGATATTGTTGATAATGTTATTATAAATAAACGTTTGATAAATTCTAATGATTCATAAACAGTGTCGATTTCTGGTGGAAAAAGTCTTGTCCATTCTTTTTCATCTTTTTCATTTTGAAATGTTATTTCATCATTCATCATTAAATCTAAAACGAAACACGACTTCATTTAGACAATCAGTTGTTTAGACTTGTATAGTGCGATAGCGTATTGAAGACTAGTAATCTCGCTAGGTGTAGTATTGCTATTTGAAAATTTGTACTTTATATAAGTTCCGTCTTTTATTAGTTTTAATCTCGAAATGGTCTAATATGAGTTATAAAAAATAATATATATTATATGCAGAGAAGGAATCCTTGTATAAAAAGTATAATTTCGCTAAGAATAGTAGGATTAGGAGTAGGACTTTGAAGTCCGTTATGGCAGGAGTTATATCAGAGAGTGGGATAATAACAGTTTTTAGCTTTTAATATTCAAGTGCAACTGTTATATTGAATAAAAACTATAAAGAACAGGATATTAACTACCCTTCTAACGGGTAGCCCAGATAAAATAGGACACTTTTGTTCGTTGTTTTTGGGATACTGTCCAGTAGTCCTAAGAGTTTTTCTAATGTCAATTGACAGAGAATTGAATTCTCTACAAAACCTGTAGTTTTAATCTCTGACAGCATTTTTTCCATTTGAGTGCCATTCAAAATATTGAAGAGTGCTGAGTTGCGAACTGCGACACATTGAAAATAGAAAAATATTTACCTTGATCCAACAATAGATTCCATAAGAATTTTGAAAACATCAGAAGATTCTCCAGAAGATTCTGTATTTTCTCACGTATTTTTTGAAATTTTTGCAGCTCACTTTTCTAGAAAAATTTCTTTGTGCAAAAACTGATAAATCTAAGAAAACCTAACTTCTGAACCTATTTCTCACAGACTAGTTTTTTGGCTATAAAAGCAGTAAAACGTTTTGAATCCACCGTAAACAAAATTAAATTCTGCATTTTTTGATATATAAAGAAAGTTTCTCAATTCAAATCATTAATTAAAACAATTAATTTAATTTGAAAAAATTGAAAAGCTGGTTGAGAACTAATTATGAGTCCAGCTGACGTAGCGAAAACATTGTATAAAGTGTTATATTAGTGAGATCAATAGAGCACAAAATTCTCTATCTTTCTACCTAGAAAAATTAGCTATTGAACCTCAGACAATGGGATAGAAATCTCAAAGAAGGAGACGTCAAAAACACGTCGCAGTTCGACAACTCAGCACCCGTCAATATTTTGAATGGCATTCAAACGGAAAAAATACTGTCAGAGATTAAAATTACAGGTTTTGTAGAGAATTCAATTCTCTATTTATTGACATTAGAAAAAACTCTTGGAACTACTAGACAGTATCTCAAAAATAATGAACAAAAGTGGCCCAATTTATCTGGGCCACCCGTTAGTAAATTTAAGGTGAGTTCAAAAAGTCTAAAAGAAAAGAACGTGTGGAAAGGTTAATCGGTTTTCTTCTCACAAAATATATATTTGCTCACTTCTAGTATGATTCGTTTTACTCTGATTTGTTATTTATTTCTTCTATTATTCTATATTCATTAATTTATCGTTATTTTCCATCATTTTTTCACGTACTAGTATTAATTTTGAACTGATGCAACGACAGATTTTTTTTCTATTCAATTAAACTTAGAACAAATTTACAAACGGTCGTTACTATTCTTATATTTATATTAAAGTTATTAAGAAAAAATCCAATTGATATAATGATAAAATCAACAGGAAAAACAAAGAGAATTGAAAAACTAGAAAGACTGAAGAGTTTACGAAGTATGGGATTGGACGTCATTTAGCAATCAGTTCTTCTATTGAAGACGTAAAAACATCTGATAGAAGAGTTAAAAATATACATTAAGAAAAGAATAACCATTTCTTCGAGGATCGAGAGAACAGTAACAACATTAGAGCTCTGCTGCAGAAATATTACACGTTTCTTCTCCATGATTCCCATATGAGTAGTCGGCCTTTCTCTTCTTCAAATATTCACCTTCCCAAATGATTCTACGTCTTTCTGATTAAAACTAGTTTTTCTAGGGCAATTCTTGATGCTGATCACGAATCTGACATTCATTTGAACCCATGAGAATTTTTACTACCTGCTTACAGAAATCAGGTCTCTACAGATCCACCACATAGTTTCCGTTTAACAGGCTTCGATACTGGAAGAGCAACTCAATCTACATATATGAAAAAATGTTTAGACCCACCAAATAAGTTTTTACTGAGATAAGAATAATTTCACGCACAATAAACTTTAAAAATATGCACAAATATGCAGACGCAAGAGTAATAACCCTGTAACTCAGTAAAAACTTATTTGGTAGACCGAAACATTTTTTCATATATAAATTGAGTTGATATTCTGACTGGCGGTATCAGAGTCTGTTAAACTGAAACTATCGAGGGAACCGCCCCAAGTGTTCCCGAGCTTTTTTGTCGAAACACATATAGGCATAGGTTATCGTTGATGCTGATTTCGAATATCATAGTCGGAGCGGCATACAGGCCCTCGGAGACTCGATTTTCTAGAAAACTAGTTTTCCAGAAATTCTAAAAAATAACCCAAACCTTTGTTAATGATGCATGATTGTAGCCCGCAAATTTCTGATTAAAATAGAGACATCTCTCAGCTCTACATGAACTTTCTTTGCAAAGTTATAGAATTTACAAGAGAAGCCCTAAATTAATCTCTTCTTATTTCTGTAGCTTTGAGCTGACAATGAACATTTAGAGCTTTTCTTGTAAATTCTATAACTTTGCAAAGAAAGATCGTGTAGAGCTGGGAGAGATGTCTCATTTTTAGGGGAAAAATTAAGTAGTACTTAAGTGGCACTTTTCCTTACGTGCGTTCCTCAAAAAACTGAAGTTAAACAGAGAACATGCAGTAAAAACCACTCATATTTTAACAAATTTAGGCTATTTTGATGAAATTTTTCGAACAAAATCCTTCTAAAATTACGTCTATCTAATTATTGTGAATCTGACTACGAAAAAACGTAAAATAAAGCAACTAAAAAATTAAGTTAAAATTTACGAATGATCGAGAGGTCCCTTAATTTAAGATACTTCCGAAAAACTCTTAGCAAAAAAGTCTTACTTAATTACTTAAATTTTCCATTTAAGCAAAAATGAGAAACAGACTTCTGATTTCTATAAGCAGGTAGTAAAAATTATCATGAGTCCAAATGAATATCCGATTCGTGATCAGCATAAAGAATTTTCCTAGAAGAACTAGTTTTAATCAGAAAGACGTAGAATCATTTGGGAAAGTTTCTTCTTAAGTAAACGTTTATAGTCAACTAAAAAAACTACTCAATTCGCTCAAATTTAGTTATAGAACGTTGTTGACACTTTTTTTTGTAGTGTTAGAAGAATATTGATTCCTACATGCTAACTTATGTAGGTTATTCTTTGGAGATTTTTGTGTTTGATTTATTTTTCATAATTTACGGTAATGTTCAGATTAGGGAATAAAAAATGTTTTTAGTCTTATATTGGAAAATTTTTATTTAATTTAATAAATAAAAGAATAAATGTTTTGTGTTCGAAAATAAGCCTAAGATCAATGGATATAACCCCACAGATTTTTCTCTACGAGCTTCTTTTGAGGTTCTGTATTTTGATATCGATGATATTCATGATGGTAATGAGCTTCTTTGTTTGAAATCACGCTCATTCAAACTTTTGTTTCTAATGTAGATTAAAATCTTTATCTTTAACATATGAAAGTCAATTCTAACTTAAGTTCTATCGTTATAGATAATATATGAATGTAAGAAGAACAATATTATTTTGATCGGAAAACATGTACTTAACTCACATATTTTACATTTATCAAAGCATTTAACAAAACCGACTACATTATATATCAACATACATGAACGAGTGACAATAGAAGAAGAACAACGATAAAAAAAAAGAAAAGCTCGGGAAAAATTTGTTCTAGAGTGTAGAAGGAGAAAAAAAAGAAAAGCAAGAAACCAAGAAAATACACATATTAATTCTAATAAACCACTTTTATTTTATGTTTCGTTCTTAAGACTATTAACACGGAAAAGTATATCAACACAAATGTTGAACTATTTTTCAAGTTATAATACGGTAAGTTAGTTTTTATTGGATTATTTATTCTAGAAAAACAAAGGTATTTTGTTTCTGATCAGAGATAATTAAGAAACAAATTAGATCAGAATAATTATTTTTTTGGAAAACATTTATGAAATATTTCCGATAGAATAACAAAATATTTTTCTGCTTAAGATCTTTTCTTCACTTTTTTCCTATATTATTATTTGTCTGTGGACCTGCTGGCTTTTCTGATTCACTAAATTAGTTAGGTATATTAATCATAATTAGTTTTATTTCATTATATGAATTCTTCTTTAGAGAATGAAGAATTAAGGTCAACAGAGTGGAATAAAAAAAAATGATGTAGTTCTAGAATAAATAAGTTACAAAAGTAATGTTATTGTATTTCTTTCGTTTGAAGAAGACGAAATGATGAGATGTCGAATGCTCTTCCAATCATTGAGTTACCGGCGATGCTGTGAACAATGATCATAAAAATTATTTTATAAGTGATATTTGTTTTTTCTCTTTGGACAATACTATTACTTTTGTCAATTATTTTTATTAATACTCCGTATACTTGTGCGATTCTATTGAAAAAAAAAGGGCTGTTTCAAGTAATTGCTTGTAGTGTATTGATTTTGGCAAAATGTAATCAAAACATATTTCTTCCTTTTTCTGTGTAATGTCTATGTACATATTCAGAGAAACTAACTGTATGCTAGATGCAGAGCATATTATGATAGCACAAATCATATGTGTCATGAAATCTTTAAAAAAAAAAAAAGACAAAAAAATCATTCACAAAATTATTGTAATGATTATTGTATTTGGTGAAATCATCTGCTTTCTATAGAAGATAAAAATAAAAGACAAAACTTATCCTGTTATTTTTTTTTCGAGGAAAAACAAAAAAAGAGCAATATAATCCATCATTTTTTATGTCACTATAGGTTTGTATTATCAAAAATTTAATATTTTGAGAAGCTCTAACAGATTATTCCATAAATTGTGTTTATCATACTTTGTTTATAACTGTT